ATTTGAAAATCGTCTCTATTAAAGTGACTATCTGATGGTGACCTTCTTGCTTGAAATTACACATCATTTGTTTCAGAAGATTTTTCCTTGATTTTTCAAAGTCTAGGTGACTTAAACATATCATAGAATTTCAGTGATGCCAATAGATGGCAGTAAAAAGGTTTTATCACTTTGTGTTGACGTTTTGAACTCAAAATACATTTCAGGTAGATTTCGAGTTATTGAAAAGCAACAAGAAACAGTCTTCTGTAGGCTTTCCTTAATATGAAAAATCTGAACGAGGTTAGCTTTTGGTTTTGTAAAAGAAGTGGAAATTGATGATTTGTCGATTTTCAGTGACTCGTTTACTTTGCATTACATGCACTTTCTGTCTTAATTTCTTTAAAAAGTTTAGCATTGTTGTGGAAACGTTCATAGATGTATGATACAGTGATAATCATATCACCGTTTCAGAAGTTGTTGTACTCAGTCAACTGTGTCACAGATTAAAGCTTTGAGGGGTTTTTTTTTTCTCAACAAAAACCCCTTATTTTCACACAAATCTGTTGGTTTTTTTTATATGTTTGAAATTAGCATGCCCTTTTAAAGTTTTTCTTGTAGCAGTTTTCATGAACTCTTCAATGAAAATGTTTGCTGACGGTGTCTTTATCTCAGGGAGTATTTGTTGGAATGATTTAACTTTTTTAAACCCCATATTTACTGATCGCCTAACTTTTGAAGTTTTGTGGTAAGGTCCCCAATTCGTGGAATCCAATTTGGGACAAAATTCTCTTGATATTTGTTCAGGCTTTTGAAGCGATTTTGACCTTATTTTAAATGTAATCTTTTGACTTACAGTGGTTCGCCACTATCGACATATTGTTGAATAATCCTGTCCGGATACTCTCCGAATTCAACACGAGTCTCCTCGCTAAACACTTCCTCAGTCCCGTCTTTATAGGCTAGTGCGACTCCCGAATATACGAGGTGTTCTCGTCCGCGAAGTCTGTAAAAGATCTTACTAGTGTGCGCAAAAGTTGACTAAAATCAAACCTTTGCAACGTCTTGAATGCATCTTTTGCATCCGCTGGTTTTCCTAAGATTTCTCCTTCAAAGTATATCACGGTATCCGAAGCGATAATGACATCATATGTATCCTGCAAGCGTTGAATGTAATGTCGATCTACAAATTCACTTTAGTAGGCTTACGTTGTTTTCTTTCATCTCAGCAACCACTGCATGAAGTTTTCCGAGCGCAGTTTGCTCAACGAAATCTCGCACAGGAAGTGACTTAGGCAAGTTCTCCTCGAAGTTTGATACATGAACAAGAAGATTTTGTATGCCCTGAATGTGTCTTTATCATTTATCTCGTCGACTTCTTGCGGTGCGATTCTCTCATTTTTGCCTAAACAAAAATTGCATGTTGATATCTTGTTTCTAGGTTTATCCCCATTCAAATGTTAAACGCCGTCTTCATGTAAACCCCTTCTTTACAAGGTAATTTTACTTGATAACCTGGTGATTGGTACTTTCGCTGTTCTATATAGACATTATCCCTATTGTTTGACCTTCTAACTCGTAATAGTATCGCACTTCAGAAGATCGCAAGTAGAAACGGTGGGTCAGTAACCAATCGTACAATCCTTGCGCGTCATCACTCATAGCTCTACTCTTGCAGATAGTTGCACCTCTTTTGTTCCATTCAAAAGTTTCAAAAGATGTTAAGTAGCGTCAATATTTTTACTTAGAGCTAGTATGGTTCACTACAGAATGTCGATTTTTGTACGTGCGATCTGTAACCCTGTAGCATGTTTAACACTTGGTTATCACTATAGAACGTTGTTTTGCTGCTAGTCAACCTCTTACAGATGAGAGGTGTCTGGAAAGTTGCTGAACTTGACGAAAATTTCGTAATTTTCGGACCATTTCTCAACACAGACAAATGGAGATTTTGGCATCTGTTCGAAAAAAAAAGATTGTGATCACATTGATGACTTTTCAGCTGAGTTCTTCTAGGCAACGGTGTTTCATTTTGAGGGGCTGGGTTGAACTTAAGTTTGCACCAATAGGGGTTGACCTCTCTCCATCGCGGTAGGGTTGCGGTATAAGGTTACGTGGCTTTAACCTTGCGTAAGGCACTTAATCTAACTTTTGTATGAAACCCTATCTTACGAAAAGGCTGTCTTAATTGGGTTCAGTGCCTAAATAACTTCATCAGACAAGTACTCAGCGTTGTTAAGAGGCCATCATCTTTGGCCCCATGCTTGGACGCTTCGCGTTAGCGCAGAAGAACTATACAGCTTTAAACCGTAATCTTAATCTAAAGGAAAGAAGTAAAGGTTTGCCTTTGATTGAAATCCCCAAAATTCGTAAATAAATAATTGTTAATTGATCAAATATCAGGACACATTATAATTGCTCATGTTCGGAAATCCTTTACATTGCGATTCGCTCATAGAAATACTCAACAGCGCGCGTTCATTTTGAAGGAGAAAATCTCTGAATTCCTGGTGGATTCGCTGGACTAAAGCAAACAAACTGCCAAAGACTGATTGCAAATTTCGTGTTCTGAGGTCATTGTACTGCTTAGAAGTGGCGCGGGGCCGCTAAACAACGCAATCGAGTGCTCTGAAAGCAA